CAATAGCTGATCTCTGGGGCTGTTAGGAAGAAGGTTAACTTCTACAGAACTGGAAGCCTTACCACCGGGGAAAAAAAACTTGCAAAGGACTTTTATAATCCTGCAGAGAGCACTATCGTGAGGTTCCACTGTTTGTGTAGGAAAGTCACTTGGGTTTAGGGAAGGAGCAAGAAAAGAAGATTCTTGGGTCAGGTTGGAATTTCTGCTTGGAAAGACATAGCCTCCGTTGAGCAGTCTGTCAGTGAGAATTTAGTGGTCATCCAAATTCTTGTCATCCAAACAGATGAGGCAAACTCAATGTAGTGGTGAGACATTTACTACAGAAGATCTTTTTGTAGTTTAGGAAGCAAAATGCTAACTCTCAGTTTTTCCTTTTAGGCATTCTCCACCATAAATATCCTATTCAGAACTAAATCCAAGTCTTCGCTCTCTGGATCTCCTAAAGGTACAGGACATTTACTTAAAATGTTAAAGTGTCTTACCTTTTATTTGCATTATATTAAAGAAACCACAAGTTGTTGTAAAACATGATTATCCACAGGAAGTGTCTGGTTTTTCTTTGATCCTCTGGCTTCTATCTGCAACACCTTTGACAATTATGACACAAAAAAAAGCCCCGAGAGAACTTTTATCTGAAAATGCTACATTCTTTCTTTTATATAGGAAGATTTTAATTTATTTTTGGCTGAGTAGACTGAGACTATGTTCACATCTTTGTGCATTTCTTTGCCTTTTTGGTTACCTTAGTGACTTCCGAACTTTACGTTTTAATGTATTCAAAATTTCTGGGAATATTCTAGGCCTTGATGTGTCAAAAGAAAGTAAAAATCTAAAAACTGGAGTGGGTAACAGGGCTCTGTCATCTGAAAATCCATCGCTCTTAAGTTTTTTATTGTCCATAGGTCATTGAATTGTTTGATGGCAGCCGTTACCATCATGAGGATAATATTCTAGCACAACACTGTCTCAATAAAACTTAAAATATTAATGTCTGAGTTAGCGAAAAGTAAGTGTGGAAGGGTGGGAAAGGAGCAAGTTATGTGATTAGCTGCTGGGATGGTATGAGTAACCATGAGTATTGTTCATTCACGTATCTTTCAATGTCTGTGAGTGCTTTTAAGTTCTAGCAATGCCTCGAGTATTGTATTGGGGTCAGTTACTTGTACTAGTATTTGTCTTGAAAAGTTTGAAGTAGCTAGCCTCTGATTACCACTGAAATATTGGCATCTTTTTCTTTATCTACTGAAACAGCCATTGTATGTTGTTAGCCTTAACTTTCTAGATTGTGGTGCTTTTTCTTGGATAGTTAGAGTTTTGTAATCCTCTTGTAGGGTAAAGGGCATATTACTTTGTAAAAGCACTGTAAACCCTATTAATCCCCAAATAACCTATAATTAAATGTGCAAGGATGGACAGTGAGTTCTTATATACTAGTGTAATATTTCATACAAATCAACTACAGTATCAAAAGCTTCACAGGTAGTTGAAAAAATGTAAACGAAATTCCAGGGTTTTTTTGTCCCATTCTTCTTTGAAGTTGCTTGTCAAAATATGAGCTAAGTGTTTTTAAAAAGAAAACAATTATATTTGTATATATAAACTTATAGTGTATAATCTTGTAAGTTACTACCTAGTGTCTAAAATTGTCAGAAATTTGTCAAGTGGAATTTCAGCCATTCACAAGATGGTTTTAATACCATCCAATATTCTGCCTGAAATAGTTCTGAATTGGTGCTTACAGGATGTAGATTCAACTTTTGATCTGAATATAAAAACGTGTGAGATTGGTGCATTGGGGAAGGAGAGAGAAACATGATAATGATGTAGCAATTTATGTAGAAACAAGGATTGTACTCTAGGTTGAAAACAATACATTCATTGGGAAAGTTTTATTTTCATTGCAATTCAGTTCTCTCCCTTATGATAAATTTCTGTTCAGCTGTGGCAAAAGACTGACTTGGCCAGGTACTCAGCTGCTTGAATGTCTTGGGGGTAAACCTTGAACAGCAGTGCATTCTACAGGTTTCAGATTCCTACTTCAAGTAAAGATTTAGCTTATTGATTCCTTAAAATGTCCTTCCTCCACCTTTAGAAACAGTAATGAAAGGAGCACTCACCAGGAGCCTGTTGAGTACATCTTTTCTTTCTTGCTAAGTTAATGGCTCCAGAGGCCAGGTATTCGTAGGGTAATTTTGGTCAGGGCATCATGGCCACACTTGTGGTTGCAAAGCATTTTGCAAAGAGAGGTGGGTGGGATTGTTACCATCTCGAAGATGCATGAAGTGGGCTGTGCCGAGACTCTCACTACTGGCTTTGCTGGTGAGGTCGGAAGTCTTTTGGATTCCCAGAAGGTACATGAGGACTGAACTCTTCCAGTTTGTTGAAAGGTTGGGGACGGACAGGTGGTGAATTCCAGCGAGGTGGCTTCTACAGCTTTCCTAGGTCATTACTAGTCCATTTAGATGTGACTGAGCCGCCAGACTGCCGAAATACTTGGGTGATTGGTCTCTTGGCTGAGAATAAGCAGATTGTGAGCCACGGATGTGTCTGCAGCAATTTTTTTTGTCTGGTCATGGAATGTGCACAGCTGAAGTCTATTTCAAATTGGATTGGTTTCCAAAACCTTATTGTTTCAAGCCCTAGGATGTGACCTCAAGACTCTGCAGATTTTTGTGAATAACAGCTGAATTGTCTGTCTTGAGTATCGTTGTAACCAGAGGTGTTTGAAGAAAAGCTTTTTCAAGCTGAAAATTGATGGCTGTAACTCTTGATGGAAAGAGGGCTGGGCAGAGAGCAGTCTGAGCTGTACTGCTGCGAGGTTCTCGAGTAGTCTGCTGTAAATATAGAAAGTGAACTAATAATAACCTTGTCAGGGACTTCCCTTCTTGGGAAAACAAATTGCTAGGGATCGGTGTACTGTTCTTCTCTGCATTGTGTGACAGTTGACAAGAAAACCACTTTCGTATGTGTATTTTGGAGCTGAAATTCCTTGTTCTCTAAAACCAGGTGATGGCAAGTAAACGAAGGGTAGTGCCTTCCTTTAAAAGCAAGGTGCTTGTAGGCAGAGTTTTCCAAGAATAATTTCAGACTTTCTTTCCAGCAGGATCTGAAAGATTCTGATGTTATTGACTCCAAAGTAAAACATTTTGGTGCTGTCTTCTCAAAATGTGTGGATTAGAAACTGTTCAACTTCATTTACTTTGAAGGGCATTGCACTTCAG